GTCAGAGCGCTTTTAGGAAAAGCAAATCTTAATGTTCAAGAAGCAGTCTTAATGCCTTTGAGACACAGGCACCAGGGAATTAAAGACCCAGTTCTTACTGAGGTTGTGGGAAGTGGTGCAGCCCAGAAACAGGTTTACCAATCCCAGGCTTTGGGGGGAAAGACTGCAATGATCAGGCCCTGCTTGGGAACCTGTAACTGGACGGATAAAAACCTGAGCATCTCCAGATGTTGCTAAGCTCCTGCTCCCATCAGCCCCAAGTCCCAGCGTCACCAATGGATGATGGGAGATTCACTCTAGCAACATCTGGAGGGCCCGTAGTTCTTCTAGAGGTTCATCGTTACTAGAAAATAGGATGCTGGACTTGAATCTGGGTGGGCAAGGCAATTATTGTGATCTAGCAATTATGTGTTGACTGAACAAAGTCCTGGAGCATTAAACTTAGACCTGGATTGGCTTTCTGTTGTGCCAAAACAGAATAATTGTTTTACACATGCTCCTTTCAAACGCTTAAGTTTCAAAGAGTTGCTATATTCCTGTTTTGAGGAAATGGAGATTTGCTGAACATCGAGTCTGATCTTCTGACTGTTTCCATCACAGGTGATGCTGTAAGATCTTGTTTGGGATGTACAAATACACAAAAAATCTTTTTCAAGGAAGAAGGAAAAGAAACCTGCTTTCTTTAATGCTAGACTTTTTCCCACAAGAGAGTTTGCTTAAAGTTTGCTTATACAGTGGTACCTCGCAAGACGAATGCCTCGAAAGAAAACTCGCAAGATGAAAGGGTTTTTTGTTTTTTGAGCTGCTTCGCAAGACGATTTTCCCTATGGGCTTGCTTCGCAAGACGGAAACGTCTTGCAAGTTTGTTTCCTTTTTCTTAACACCGTTAATACAGTTGCGACTTAACTTCGAGGAGCAACTCATAGCACGCGGTGTGGTAGCCTTTTTTGAGGTTTTTGAAGACTTTGGTGATTTTTGAAGCTTTTCCAAAACTTTCCCGACACCGTGCTTCGCAAGACGAAAAAAATCGCAAGACGACAAAAACTCGCGGAACGAATTAATTTCGTCTTGCGAGGCACCACTGTATGTAAATCTTCCACAGACTTAAGGATTCAGAAACAGATCAAACCCTGCAAGACTAAAAACTTTTCCTTAGGTTGGGGAGCAATGTCTGGTTCAAGTGACTGCCAGCATTTTTAAGGTTATGGGGGTGAATTTAGGCCAAGTTATCACATGCTTGCATTATTTCATGTCTTCAACCTCAAGTGATGGCTTTCATGCGCAAACAGCCATCCCAGGTGAAACACCAAATGCCAAGTTGTCTTATCATTTCGCTTCTTCTTTAAATATCTATAGGGCTGTCACGAGGAAGAAGGAGCAAACTTCTTGTCCCCTGTTCCAGAGGCTCCGGAGACCAATGGCTTCTGGTTACAAGAAAGGAGATTCTGACTAAACATCAAGAAGAACTGTCTGACAGTAAGAGCTGTTCGACAGTGGAACAGACTCCCTGAAGAGGAGGACTCTCCCTTCCTAGAGGTTTTTAAGCAGAGGGTGGATAGCCATCTGTCACGTATGATCTAGCTGAGATTCCTGCATTGCAGGGGGTTGGACTAGATACTACAATTCTATGATTCTCGAACAGAAACAGAGACAGTTCACAGGTTCTACTGCAATAAGGAAAGTAGGCATGCATGGGTGAATCCATTCTTATTCAAAGGACCCACAAGAGTCTCCCAAGTGAGATCTGAACCTTGGCTTAGAATCGTAGAATTGTAGATTTGGAAGGGACCACAAGGGTCATCCAGCCCAAACCCCCTGCAACGACGGAATATTTTGCCCAACGTGGGGCTTGAACCCAGAACTCAGAGATCAAGAGTTTTGTGCTCTCCGACTCAACTTCTTAGGATGTTTCCACACAGCCATGCTCCCTGGGGATTAGTCTGCTTTGACTATTAAAAAAGGTAAAGGACCCCTGACAGTTAAGTCCAGTCGTGAATGACTCTGGGGTTGTGGCGCTCATCTTGCTTTACTGGACGAGGGAGCCGACATTTGTCTGCAGACAGTTTTTCCGGGTCATGTGGCCAACATGACTAAGCCGCTTCTGGCGAAGCCAGAGAAGTGCATGGAAATGCCGTTTACCTTCCCGCTGGAGTGGTACCTATTTATCTACTTGCACTTTGACGTGCTTTCGAACTGCTAGGTTGGCAGGAGCAGGGACCGAGCAACGGGAACTCACCCCGTCGCGGGGATTCGAACTGCCAAAGTTCCGATCGGCAAGCCCTAGGCTCTGTGGTTTAGACCACAGCACCACCCATGTCCCTGCTTTGACTATTAGACTAACACCAATCCAGGGTGTTTGGCAAACACCACATATATTGGCTGTTCAAAATGCACTAGCAGCGGTTAGCACTGCAGCTGTCTCTCCAAAGTGTCAATGGTAACACTGCCTTTCACCTACAGCTTCCAGAGAAAGAAGTCGGGACCCATTTTTATTATTATTTTTTGTTTTGAACTGTTCTTTTAATAGCGCGCTTTAAGGTTGCAACCCAACTCTAGGATGAAGGACAGGAAATAAATTAATAGTTCCTTCCCCGCAGATACCCAAGGAAGAAACAGCATACGTAAAAGGAAGAGGTAGCAGAATTGATAGAAGCCACAGAACTGAGCTTTCCTTGGTGCGTACATTTTTAAAGCACAGCCCTAACACAGAGATAGGATGTGAAAACAGGTCGTTAGATGGTCTGGCTAGCTGGTTAACAGCAATCTATTTTTATGGAATGAGATGAGTGCATTTCTACCAAGTGTGCAACCAAAACAGGGGTGGGCAAATTTGTCTGGCCAGTGAGCCAGACTGTTATCTCCCCTAACTGTTGGGGTCCAAGTTTGACACACTGGAAGGTACCTTTTTTTGCAGAGTGCTATCTTGCAGGGTGGCGCGGTGGGTTAAACCACAGAGCCTAGGGCTTGTCAATCATCAGGTTGGTGGTTTGAATCCCCGCGACGGGGTGAGCTCCCGTTGCTCGGTCCCTGCTCCTGCCAACCTAGCAGTTCGAAAGCACGTCAAAGTGCAAGTAGATAAATAGGTACCACCCCAGCGGGAAGGTCAACAGCGTTTCCGTGTGCTGCTCTGGTTCACCAGAAGCGGCTTAGTCATGCTGGCCACATGACCCGGAAGCTGTACGCCGCCTCCCTCGGCCAATAAAGCGAGATGAGTGCCGCAACCCCAGAGTCGGTCTGCGACTGGACTTAACGGTCAGGGGTCCCTTTCCCTTATCTTGCGGAGTGCACTGCAGGAGTCTGGACAAGACCCAACAACCAGCTGATGGTTTTGCCTTGCACAGGGCTATGTGGTCACTGCTGAGCAGTGGATCGGCGGTGCCTGGAAACCCCACTTCGGCTGACTCAGGTCATTACTTGCCCCATGCCAAGCATCAAATCACACACTTTGTTGGCTTTCCTACCCTCCCTTCCCCAAAAGGCCGCAGGGTGGATTGGAACAATCAAAGATAAAAAAACAGCTACAAACCATAAAACAAGGGTAAACAAATAAAAAACAGTTCCATCTGTACAGACGACTTCACAAATTCAGTTCCCACTTGCACAAATTTTGGAGGCGGAGCAATCGCTGTAACGACGGTTTGCAAACCAGCTCTAAAATGTCATGTGGTATTTTCGTTTGGCGTTCCCTCCCAAACCATGGCTTACAATAGACTCAGGTGAAGAACGACAGTTTGGCATGTTATCCGAAAACAGGATACCAATGCACTATCTCACCCGAGCCCCGAGGAACAGAATTTAGTATATAGGCTTATTCCATTTCCATTGTAAGATGCAAAACAGATTGAAATGTCGTTTACTAGTTATAGATATTTCCCCCCAGCATACCATTAATCAAGTTTAAAAATAAGCACAGGTACCTACCAATGCGTCAACAGAAACATGTTTTTAATCTTCTTGGCTTCCCCTGGCATTCAGTGTTTCCTGACAAGAGAAAAGATTTCTTTTTACTAACTAAAACACCCCATAATTCTAAAATCTAAAATAGGTAGCAGTTCATAGTTATCATTATTAAAAGACATCAAACCAACAATTACGAAAAAGCTTTAGGGGGGAAAAACACACATTTGTAATGTTTTAAGTTCTTAGTTACATTAGTTGTCCATAAATTCTAGGATTACAAGTTACTAGTTATGAGGTTTTACATTTGTTTAATAGGGAATAATTTCCTCCAATTACACTGACCGAACTAAGGCTTTTTAGATGACTAGAACAAATTAAGCTTTTTAATATGAAATTTTAGGTGGTGATCTTAAAGCCTCCCTTTTCTATAATCTAAAATAGAACTTGCTAATTTGTACCCTTCCCTGCTTTTATTGGTTATATTAAGATAAATTAAGTGAGATTAAAATCTTATTTGATTTATTTACCTTTGCAAATGAAGACCGTTTTAAGGGTTACACATCCTCTGCCTCTGACGAAAGCGACCTCAATTAGTCAAGTCAGAAAGTCTTTAAAAGCTTTGTGTTTATTGCTTCCAGCACGGAGTGAGGTGGTCATTAAGGTACCAAAATTCTCAAAAAACAAACAAAAATTCCGAAGTTGCACTAAGTGAAGAAATGCTCAACAAGATGAAAACTAAGTCACAGGTGTTGTTGTTTTTTTAATTTATTGTTTCAGAAAAAGCATTAACTATTTTAAACCAATAATTTGTTTTTTAAAAAATGTGGAAATCCAGTAGATCGATACCATTTGGATAACTCCTTTAAAAGCCTTTATATTGTGTATAGGTGAATAAATATATGTATATATCTATATATATATATATCTATAATATAATGAAATGCACCTTTAGGTTTATACCATTTTATTAAAAAAGCAAGTAGTTGTACAGTGTTTTAGTAGGAGCAATTTAATATTGATCGTTGTTAAAAATCACTCCCTCCCTGGTTACTACTATTTATGAAGGTTTTTAAATAAATAATGCATACTCTCACACACACTGATTTTTCTTTCAAAAGTTTATTTAGTATCAAGCAAGAGTAATCTTTGCTTAACACTACAGAACATTTCAAGACTCAAGTTACAAAATACCACATTATTTGCATCTGTGATCTGCCTCCCTTTTTACGTAGGTTTGCAAAGAGAAAGACTAGCAAAATGGTTGAAAGATAAAAACTAGAAGAACTAAATTGTCGAAAACCTTTAAAATAAAAGGTTACGCTTAGGTTAAAATCATGGATTAACATATTTAATAAACCTAGCTGTTTTTAACACTAGTTAATCAAAGGTTATATTTTCTCTCTCTCTCTCTTTTTTGTTTGTTTTGATCACCTATCGGTTCTCCCCCCACCCCAACCCACCCGCCTGAATACAATCTGGAAATAACAAAGTTCCGCGTTTCAACGTGTCTTCCTGTCCAGGCTTTTCATTCAGCAAAAAATAGATTAAGCTCAGTCCGTCCATTCAGATTAAGCACTTTGATTTTAATAAAAAGGGATTGTTCATAGAAAAAAATTACTTTGAACAGTATACAGGACTGGTGGAGATTGGGTATTTCACAACATCAGACAGTGTAATCAGTATCTGGCATATGGCTGCTCTCTGTAGCCTCCTCTTGTTGTCCTTGATGAAGGTGCCTTGTGTCTTGAACTGGTCCATTCTTCCTGTCCTGAAATAAGGAAGCGTAAACATGGTTCAGGCTTCTCCTAAATAGATCTGCGGCTTGTTTTTTGGGGGGAGGAAAAGGGTGGCAAAGGGGCATAGCTCAGTGGCACAACTCTAGACAGGGGAGCAGGCAGAGAGGAGGAATAAACAGACAGAACTCCTGAAGGAGGGGTGCAGAAAGTAGAGCCCCCCCCCAAAAGAATCAGTATTGGAACCTGTGCTTTTTAAGTTGTTCATAAACCTTCTAGACTAGGGTTTCCCAAACTTGGGAGTCTCCAGCTTCTTTTGCACTACAATTCTCATCATCCATAGCTAGCAGGTCCAGTGGTCAGGGATGATGATGATAATAATAATAATAATGATGATGATGATGATGATGATGATGATGATGATGATGATGATAATTTATTATTTATACCCCGCCCATCTGGCTGGGTTTCCCCAGCCGCTCTGGGCGGCTTCCAACAAAACACTAAAATACAATAACCTATTAAACATTAAAAGCTTTCCTAAACAGATGTCTTCTAAAAGTTTGGTAGTTATCTTTCTCTTTGACATCTGGTGGGAGGGCGTTCCACAGGGTGGGTGCCACTACCGAGAAGGCCCTCTGCCTGGTTCCCTGTAACTTGGCTTCTCGCAATGAGGGAACCGCCAGAAGGCCCTCAGTGCTGGACCTTAGTGTCCAGGCAGGACGATGGAGGTGGAGACACTCCTTCAAGTATACTGGGCCGAGGGAATCGTAGTGCAAAAACAGCTGGAGACTCCCAAGTTTGGGAAACCCTGGTCTAGAGTTAGGAGTCAGCAGTGAGCTGGCCATGTTTACTAATGATACTAAACTGCTTAGCCTCGCTGAAAGGAAAGGACCTATCCAAACTGTGCGAGCGGGCAGCAAAACCAGAGCCGCCTTTCCCATAAGGCTTAGTGGTGCATCGCGCCAGGGCGCCGGCCTCTCAGGGGTGCCCCAGCAAGTGAGGGAGTTGCGCGGCTTTGCCGGCGGCCTCCCCTTTCCCTGCACGCCCGCCAACTGTGCCCCGCCAACCATAAGGCTGGCGGGTGTGAGGCTTCCCTCCCAAGCCTCTTCGGGAGAAGAGCGATCCTCCCAGAGGCTTGGGAGGGAAGCTGCGCTCTCCTCCCATGGAGGCTTGGGAGGGGTGAAACTTCACTCCCAAGCCTCTGGGGGAATCGCTCTCCTGCAGCGGCATGGGAGAGAGTTGCGCCCCGCCCCCCCGGATGGCTGGCAGTGCGCAGCTATGGCCACCCCAACACTATCCATGGTAATTTGGGGGCGCCGGGCGGATATTTGCGCCCCAGCGCCGCATCTGCTGAGCGAAACAGCAAACGTTACACAAATCCAAGGTGTGCTCACACTGGTCGCTTCACCTCAAAAAGGTTATTGCAGAGTGGGAAAAGCGTTCGGAAAAGGGCAACCCAAATGATCCAAGGGGGTGGAGCGACTCCCTCAAAGAGTTTGCAGCGTTGGGGACTTTGTAGTTTTGAGAAAAGCTGCATAATGGAATTTTACAAAAATTATGCATGACATGGAGGAAACAGGCAAAGATTTCCTTCCTCTCTAGTAACACTAGAACGTCTAGGCATCCAGTGAAGTTGAATGTTGGGAGATTCAGGGGCAGATGAAAGAAAGTACTTCACACATTCACCCCCCCCCCCAAAGTGATGGCCACCAACGTGGATGGGATTTAAAAGAGGATTAGACAAACTCATGGAACAAAAGCCTATCAATGGCTACTAGCCTTGGCTATACTCTGTGTCCGTGAGTGAGGCCAGTACAGGTGAAACTCGAAAAATTAAAGGCTCAGGAACCCATTGCAGGTGTTATGGATTGAATAGCTACTACACCTTTCCACAATATTCTAATTTTCAGAGATTGTTAATTTGGGGTTTTCATCAGCTGTATGGCATAATCATCACAATTATGACAAATAAAGGCTTGACATATCTCGCTTTGCATGCCATGAGTCTAGCTCATATATTAGTTTCATCTTTTAAGCTGAATTACTGAAATAAATGAACTTTTCCAAGATATTCTAATTTTTCGAGTTTCACCTGTAGGCTTCTGAATACCAGTTTCCAGAAAGCACAGCAGGGGTGTCTATTTTTGTAAGGCAATTTTTTGTTCCATTCAGTGTGAAGGAGTAGGTGAGGGCTACGGGACCTCAGGTCTAGGGGTTGAAATATAGCCTCCCAGGCCTTCAAACCCTCCTCAGGACACGCCCCTCACCACTGCAGGGGGTTGGACTAGATGACCCTCGGGGCCCTTCCAACTCTATGATTCTAACCCTGCTTCACACCCCCAGTATTTTTTCCTGTCTTGAATGTGCCCTTGACCTTTTGGGGAGCTGCATAAAAACCTCAGAGATAGCGTGTAGCTTTCAGGCGGGTTGTTTTTGGTGTGTGTGTGTGTGTGTGATCGTTTCTTGAGATTCTCTGGTCCCAGACCATTTAAAGGTCAAAACCATCACTTTGAATTGAGCCCGGAGACGAACTGGCAACTAACGAAACTGGTAGAGGATTAATGAGTGTACCAAGATCCATTCTATCAGCCTCAGATCAAAGCTGGCAGCTACGATGACTGCATTAACAAAGAGGCAGTCGCTATAATTAAACAAAACCATCCTATGCACATAGCCTGAGCTTTCTCTCTTCACTCCTCCCTTATTGGAAAAGGGAAATGAATCGCAGCATGGCTGGGCTTAGCCTTATGCATTAAGATGCACACATCGTTTCTCTCCATGCTCTGGGTTCAGACGTATTCTGTGGTTTGGTTCCCTGCTTGGCTAAGGCAGCAGCAAAATGGGCTGTGTGCCCATACTGCATATGCTTAACTCCTGCTAAGGCAACCTTCTCAACCTTGTGCCTTCCAGGCCTGTATCTTCCATCAGCCCCAGCCATGATGGCAGGGGCTGCTGAGAGTTATGCTCAAAAAGATCTGGAGGACACCGGACTGGGCAAGGTTGGTTAAAGGCTTTTCATTACATGCTATGGACTATCCTCTGCTTGGACTGCTGCAATGCACTCTCTGTGGGGCTACCTTTGAAAGTGACTCGGAAACTAGAACTAATCCAGAATGTGGGAGCTGGACTGGTGACTGGGAGCGGCCGCTGGGACCATATTAACACCGGTCTTAAAAGATCTACATTGGCTCCCAGTACGTTTCCAAGTACAATTCAAAGTGTTGGTGCTGACCTTTAAAGCCCTAAACGGCCTTGGCCCTGTGTGTCTGAAGGAGCGTCTCCACCCCCATCTTTCAGCCCGGACACTGAGGTCCAGCTCCAAAGGCCTTTTGGTGGTTCCCTGACTGCGAGACGTGAAGCTACATGGAACCAGGCAGAGGGCCTTCTCAGCAGTGGCACCCACGCTGTTGAAAGCCATCCCATCAGATGTCAAGGAGATAAATAGCTATACAGTGGTACCTCTGGTTACGTACTTAATTCGTTCTGGAGGTCCGTTCTTAACGTGAAACTGTTCTTAACCTGAAGCACTACTTTAGCTAATGGGGCCTCCCGCTGCTGCCGCGCTGCGATTTCTGTTCTCATCCTGAAGCAAAGTTCTTAACCCGAGGTACAATTTCTGGGTTAGCGGAGTCTATAACCTGAAGTGTATGTAACTCAAGGTACCACTGTACAACTTTTAGAAGACATCTGAAGGCAGTCCTGTGTCGGGAGGCTTTTAATCTTTGGTGTTAATTTATTATGTTTTTATATGTGTTGGAAGACTTGCTGGGGCAACCCAGCCAGATGGGCAGGGTCTAAATATTATTAATTATTATTATTATTATTACATCTGAATGCAGACATTCTGAACCAATGGGAGCTTCCAGACCACCCTTCATTTAGATATCACTTCGGAAGCAGGGAAAGACGGCAAATCTTGCTTTCTGTGTTTGCATTAAGCCCATTGCAGGCCTCTTTGCTGAAACGTTTCGCCATCACGAGGCAAGCTGAAGCCAGGGCCTCCTGCTGCCAGGCAGCTCATTTTAATGCCGAAGCATGAAAACGATCAAAGCTATGCGAGTCCGTGGAGACCAATTTAGCATGTTGCGAGGGGGGTGAGGAGGAGGCTTAAAGCAGTCTTTCCCTTTTGATACTATCGTGTAATCGGCTGCTCCCCCTCAAGGTGACTTGCGGACATTTAAAGCCTGTGACACGCAGGCAGCCTGTGTGGTAGAACGATTTACTATGACAAACAAACCCAAGCGGGGGGTCCCGGTCGCTTCAGGTGGGAGGTGCGGTGGGTATTATTTATTTATTTTACGCATCAAGCGTACTTCAAAGGTGTCCCCAGAAACGGGTTTCCAGACTTGCCGCTGAAAAAGTGTCGCAACATCCATTAAGCGGGGAAAATTGCGAGGCACCTGCTCTGACAGCAGGCAAGTCGTGAGGGTGTCATTTGCGGCAAGACGGGGAGGGGTGCCCGGCCTCATGACAGGTCGGATCCTGAGCCGCTCTGATCTCCAGCCAAAGGTTTAACGTTATCCCCAAAGCAAAGGTGTCTCTTAACATGCTTTGTGTGTCTAATCCGACACAGGTTTCTTTAATTAAACCTGTCACCTCTGCACTCCGGTGCGCGTGCGTGTGTGTTTTTAATTAATCTCCGTCGAGTAGCATGTGGATTCTGCTCTGGAAATTATTCTTTACCAACAAGAACCCCAGCTCCTCTTTTTCCCTTCTGTCTACCTAAAGCACCTTTATATATATATATAACCTCTGTTTAATGACCTACCTCCTCGAATTCGTTCAAGTGGCGCAGAAAAGCAAAGCTAAAGCACTGGGGGTTGGGAGAAACCCCGCAGGCCAAGTGAGAAACGTTAAAAATATTCAGCAAGGAACTTGAGTTAAGAATGAGGTCAAGGGCGCTTTCATACATCCAGACACACCAGCTCAAGCCAAGGAGATGCAGGCAGCGGCCTGGCATACCCAGAAGCTAGAGGGCAGGTTCTCAGACATCATGACACACCTGTTCTATAAAGGTAAAGGGACCCCTGACCATTAGGTCCAGTCGTGGCCGACTCTGGGGTTGCAGCGCTCATCTCGCTTTATTGGCCGAGGGAGCCGGCGTACAGCTTCCGGGTCATGTGGCCAGTATGACTAAGCCGCTTCTGGCAAACCAGAGCAGCGCATGGAAACGCCGTTTACCTTCCCGCTGGAGCAGTACCTATTTATCTACTTGCACTTTGATGTGCTTTCGAACTGCTAGGTGGGCAGGAGCAGGGACCGAGCAACGGGAGCTCACCCCGTCGTGGGGATTTGAACCGCCGACCTTCTGATCGGCAAGTCCTAGGCTCTGTGGTTTAACCCACAGCGCCACCCGCGTCCCATTCTATGCCCATGGCCAATTCATTCCACAACTGGGAGAATTCAGCTACTCTCTTAATCCCTACCTTAAATGGCTCCTCTTACGTGTATCCTTTAGCTTAAGTCCTCCTCTATCAACTGAAATGAAGCGTAAATATGTGAAACTGAATTTGCACATTTTCATCTCTCCTTACGCCTTGCCCTCTATCAGGATTTAGAATGGTGTTCCCAAAACTTGGGTCTCCAGCTGTTTTTGAACTACAACTCCCATTATTCCTGACCACTGGTCCTGCTACCTAAGAAGCATGGGAATTGTAGCCCAAAAAAGAGCTGGAGACCCAAGTTTGGGAAACCCTGATGATAAAAAAAGTCCTTGAGGCTTCTCTCCCCTGCACACTTTTTAAAAGCTTGTGCTACTTTAAAAACATTATTATATACAGCGTATGGATGTATGTGTGGGTATTAATAACATTATTTAAATTAGCACATGTTTGCAGTCTCCCGGGGAGATCAAAAGGAGGTGAATAGTAGCAGCAACATGGAAGGAGAAACCAGTGAGCTGAGCTCTGTTAAACTCTTCGTTGGTGACTTTCGGGGATACCTGACTTGGCTCAGCGCTACTCATAAAATGAAACACAGCACCATAAATTGGGGGGCACCTGTTGGCTATGCTAAAGTTTGTCTAGCTGATATTGTACACAGGCCAGACTGTTTGCTGTGTGTGTGTTCATGCACGAGTAGGAAACTACCATGTTGGGTGGGGGGCAGTCGGCAAATGGCAACAAGGCAAAGTGAAAGAAGCATTTGCAAGACAGGAGAACTCCAGACAGTGAGAACACAAAAATGCCCTGCTGGATCAGACCAAGGCCTGTCTGGTCCTGCATTCTGCTCTCACACTGACTGGCCAGATGTTGACAAGAAGTGCACTAACAGGACAAGGAGGCAAAAGACCTCTCTCGCTCATACTCTGCAGCAACTGGTGTGCTGCCTGCGATTCTGAATGTTCAGCTTCTTTGGCCTATCCTTGGAAGGGTTCTAGTATTATGAAAGACGGAGAAAAACGTTTCTCTACCGACTTCCTCCATGGCATGCACAATGAAATCTGCCGCTTCGGTGGAAACGGTGTCTTGTAGTGTGCAGATGTGAGTGAGAGCAGATTTTTCTTTTTCATGCAAGGCGGCAAATTCAAAATGCCTGAGAACCATTCTCCTTTTACATGAAATTCGCTTCTCCCAGAACATTAAAGTTACTCACTGTAAGAATCGTATGTGTCGTCGCTCAGGCCATGGGCGTAATCATAGTAATCGCCACCACTGTTTGGAAAGAGAAAACAATCCAGCTGTTAATAAAAGAATTGCGATACAGCAGGAACACACCTCACAAGAGCTTGTGAGAAGCTGCTTTTTGCAGCCGGGTTCCCCCTGCCCACTCAAAAACCAATGCCAAAGCTGCTACCTGGGCAGGGGTCACCTACGTGGCGCCCTGCATATGTGGATGGACTACAACTCTCATCACCACTGACCAATGGCTATATGCAAGACACCATGCTGGCTATCCCTGCACAGAAGCGACTGGTAAAAAAAAATCCATAAAATTTTATTAATGCTTTTCGTAATACAATTAAAAATGAACTAATCTAAATAAAAACAGAACGCTCTTAAGCCATATCTCACACAGAGAGTGGTGGACCATTCTAGTTTCCACATGGGAGCTTTCCTTTCCTCTCCCACCCTGGAACATCTTCCCTTCCCTGCCCATCACCAATTTTTTTTATAATTGCTTAGAAACTTCCCCCAGCCCCCCAACCTCCACTTCCCCTGCAGAATTGTAAACCGGCATAGAAATTATTTATGCAACTAAAATATACATTGCCCTGGGTCTATTGAATTATATTACTAGCCACACATTTTTTAAAAAATAATAATAATCTGGGATGTTCCTTGGCCCAAACTTGGGCCACCGCTCAGGGATAAGGGCCATTGCACTACATACAGAAAGTCCTAGGTTCCATTCCCTACATAACCAGCCCAAAGTGGGGGTCTCATTGAACAGGGCTTGGGAATATTTTACCCTTTGAGGTCCATTTCCCAGCTGAACAGACAGTTCTGGGCTGGGTGGAGCAATCATGTGGCTCAGTGTAAAATAGCTCTAGAGTCATACCTCAGGTTAAAGTCGCTTCAGGTTGAGCATTTTCAGGTTACGCTCTGCGGCGACCCGGAAGTAATGGAACGCGTTACTTCCAGGTTTCGCCGCTCGCACATGCTCAGACGCTCAAAATGATGTCATGCACATGCTCAGAATCGGCGGACCGCGACCCGCGCATACGCAGACGCGGGTTGAGTTCTGCTCTGGATGCGAATGGGGATCCAGAATGGATCCCGTTCACATCCAGAGGTACCACTGTATTATGTTCATAAGGGGTTTAAGATGTTTTACACGAAGCCAGGTCAGCTGAAATATGTTTGTGTGTTTTCTTGGTTTTTTTACCAGAATTGGGTCCAAAGCAGTTCACAAATTTAATCCATCAACACGTGATAATAACAAAAAACACGCGATAAAAACCACCAGCAGATGAAACAGAAGCTACGTTTTGCAATACTCTAAAAGCCTGGGAGAATGAAAAGGCTTTCATCTGGCGCATAATGGGAAGCAGCCAGACAAACCACCATGGGAGGGTGGTGCCATTGATGGGAGGTCACAGCACAAAAGTCCTCCATCTCTGGCCTCTTAATGAGGGAAAGAGAAAGGCCTTTTTATACCTGCTTTGCTGATCTGAATTATTCTGCAATTAGTGGACAAATTGGTTCACAAAGGCAAGTTGTTTCAAGCACATTAGAAAGAAACAGAGGGGCTCTTGCATGCTGTTGGGTCAAGCGGCTAACTGGTCTATTATGACTTGGCCTTGACTGGCAACGTTTTCTGTCTCTTCACCCAGCTAATTGAGATAAGAGAGCAGGGCCGTCCAACAGGTAGATTGTGATCTACTGGTAAATCACGGGACCTTCTCGCCCCTGCAAAGAAAAACTCAACTGCCAAGTTTTTTTTAATAGTGGGAGTAGATCTCAAGTTGGATATGCATGCTCTAGGATGTGCATTAAATGGAGGGTGATTGATTAGTGTGGTCAATCTTTCCTCCAAGCCATCTCCTCACTGAGGAAACCCAAAGAAGGTTTCCAGAAACATAGCCAGATCAAAAGGACCACCAAAAATCTTTATAGGAGGGCACGTTGCAGCATCACTTTTTAATTCCACGAAAGCAACCCACCCCCCCGCCGCCCAATGCACACTCGTATTTTGATAAGAGAATTTTATACTGACATTTGCTATCGTTCCATACAGTATCCGATTACTTATTGTACGACTCATCAAGTCTGCAGGCCTGAAAGCAGCTGAGCCCCCGTCCCCTTACCTGTCAATCCTGTCAGAATTACTTTGGCTGGGCTTCATTTGACAAACCTAAGTGCCTGTTAAACCGAAAGCGACTTGCCTTTCATGGCATGTAAACAGCAAAACCAATAATCCTTGGTGGGAAGGGAAAATTCGCTTATTTACATTGAAGGTATCTGGAGGGCGGGGGGAAATCCTCAAAACTTTATTAGCAGGCAGACCCTTCAGCACCAATAACCACATCAGAAAGTTATAACGCGAGGTGGCTGGAGCTGTTTGCTCGGGTGCGGCCTGCATTTCTGTGTACCCTTCTCAGCCCACACAACATGTAATTGAATTGTGCTCCTGTAAGCCTTCATTTTGCAGGCAGATTGAAATGAACCTGGCTACTTCTTAAATATGGGAACATTATGGAAGGTGGCAAGATAAAGTGAGGCACAACCAAAATATACCTAGCTGGCCACAGGGAAAATTTAAGGGGTGCATCCTGGCCAGGAGTTCACCTACCAGGCCTAGGGGGGGAAATGGATGTTCAATGAGTCTATTATTCTCCTGAGGTATGTTTTCAAGATGGTGTTTATCACAAGCAAAGGCATTTTGCATTGCACTTTAAAATGCATTCTTAATAGCAAATGTAGGGACGTGGGTGGCGCTGTGGGTTAAACCACAGAGCCTCGGACTTGCTGATCAGTAGGTCGGCGGTTCAAATCCCCGTGATGGGGTGAGCTCCCGTTGCTCGGTCCCAGCTCCTGCCAACCTAGCAGTTCGAAAGCACATCAAAGTGCAAGTAGATAAATAGGTACCGCTCCGGCGGGAAGGTAAACGGCGTTTCCGTGTGCTGCTCTGGTTCGCCAGAAGCAACTTAGTCATGCTGACCACATGACCCAGAAGCTGTACGCCGGCTCCCTTGGCCAATAAAGCGAGATGAGCGCTGCAACCCCAGAGTCGGCCACGACTGGAACTTATAGCACCTTTACCTAGGTGCTATAAAAGTGTTGTTTGTTTGTTTTTTAAGCCTTCTGTCAGAAGCGGGGGGAAACACTCTGCACAAGCTGACATTAGGTCCCTTAAAACATCCGGCACTCAGTGTTAGAAACTCAGATAAATAATCTAATCATTAAATGGCACCTTAAACTTAGGTTATGGTTGCCACAATGCAATGTCTAGGCATCTTTTTTTCTTTTTACATTGAGGTTTGTATGGTTGTTGTAGTTAATTTCATTTATATACTGCTTTATATTTTAAAGAACAAATCTCAAATGCCGGCGCATCAAATATAAACATCCAGAATAAAACGAATTCAGGCTTCAAGGAAAATATTACAGATCCTTCTCTAAGGGATATTCTGCTTTCCCCAGTTGCCAGTCTGGCATCCAGAGATCTCCACACGGTCGCAACTGGACCCATGCCAGTTCCAAAATGCACCTGGCTAATTTCTAAAATTGCTGGCACTCTGCACATGCTAAGAGGCACGGTCCCAGAAAACAGAAGTGGGCAGCTTCGGGAAAACTTGTTGTGTAGGCTGCCAATCTTGAGAGGCACACAATGTGTAGCACTTGCACAATGGGAACTGTGCTGGCCTGAGGACAAGTTGCAAGTTTTACTGAAAGCATGCAGAGACCATGCATCTATCCCAAGCTAACCTGCCAGGAAACATTCACTGGGAAGAGAGTGCAATGTGACGTGCAGCTAGTTCTCAGTCACTCTTTCTGGGTGCCAATAATCCTTTGGGTCACAATAATCCTTTGGGTCACACATAAAAGTGCTCAGAGACTTGCTTAAGACAACAAGGGACCTTCACCGGTTCCCTTCTACCCCACAACAAGTTCCTGTCCTTGGACCTCAAGAAATAATAGCAAGTTTTATACAGTGAGGGAAAGCTATTAGGCAGGGAAGAAAAACCAAGTCCCGCAATCATTCATGAGCCAAAGAGGGAGAACGATTGCTTGTTAAAAAAACTGCACAGGCCTAAACAACTTTCAACCTGCCAAGCTGAACATGCCCCACTAGCTGTGTACTTGCTTCGTGTTGAATTTTGCAATCCAGGGCTCATTTGTTTATTTAAATAACATATAGGGTTTCAGCCTCGGAGAAAGTGCCCGAGCAGAAATAGCGGTGAAGTACGGGAATTCAGAATGCGTCCATCCTAATCAGAAGCCTCTGTATAAAAATAATAAATATGCTAAAAACCACTTTGGAAACAAGCTGTCAGAATCGATGAGATTTTATTTGTTCGTGCTCCTCGCGTTCTGCCTTTCCAACACATCGCCCAGGGTGGCAGACAAATCAAAATAAAAACACTGCCGCAAAAAGCAAAGCCACCTTGGAGGAGAAGGCAAGCTTTAGAGGAGAGTGCAGTGCTACAGGGCTGAAATGGGCCGGTTTTTTCCATGGATCAGTCAACGTTCTCCCCTCAATCAATCCACAGGAACAGTTGAATGAACAATGCTTAAGAGAAGATGAGCGCTGGGAGCACAGATTGGTTGCCTTAACTATGGAAGGGCTGTGACGGCTACCCAACCCAATATTAGGCAGATACATTCCAACTAGAGATTGCACTCATCAAGAGAGACATGCTCTAAGGCACCTGTCCCAGTGTGGCACTCCCCTGAGGTTTCACAGTACAACGTCCATCATCCCACAATGTCCAGGACAAGGTGCGCAACCTGGGAGTTATTTTGGACTCACAACTGTCCATGGAGAGACAGGTCAATTCTGTGTCCAGGGTGGCTGTCTACCACCTCCATCTGGTATGCTGAATGAGACCTTACCTGCCTGCACACTGTCTTGCCAGAGTGCTTATGTCCCACTTGGGCTACTGCAATGCGCTCTACGTGGGGCTACCTTTGAAGGTGACCCGGAAACTACAGCTAATCCAGAATGCGGCAGCTACACTGGTGACTGGGAGCGATCACCAGGACCATAT